CTTGTGATCTGTTGCACTACTCCAATTATGCAAAATCACTATAACATGGATCAGTTAAATTGTGTTTATGGCAAATTTGTATCACCAGAGACACATGAATCAGACACTTGTAACCCTGTGACTCCACACTGTATTGTCTTTCCTGACCTATATTTTCAGAAGAATTCTTTTAGACCCAATAAGAAAGTTATCCCCTCTAAGGTGGGGGATCCAGACATTTAGCTCCAAAGAGGTGGCCTTTCGCAGACGGAAGTTTTCGAAGACACTGCTGGCCGTTCCATGACCAGCCAGATGCAGCAGTATGAATGTTGGCCAGCCTCCAAAAACACCATTTCACTATGGGGTGTGATTTCCGGGGGGGGGGATGCAGCCAACGGAGCTGCTCCCCAAGAATAAGCTCGGTCCGGGTCACGAAGACGCAACACACAACTGTAGCCCGCCATGCCCCTGGAGAAGCAGATCGCAGTTACCCACTGGAAGCATGCTACCAAGGACAGTGGGCAACCAATTCAGCAATGCGAAGTCCACTGGAGGGGAAGGGTCCTCCTTTTTGTGACCCCCCCCAACAAAAGCATCTCAAAATCAAGAGGGAGCTGACTGCTAGAGTAGGACGAATTTAGCAGCAGATCAGCACACAGATGCGTTTAAAGAGCTGTGTGCGAAGAATCACTTGCCCTGGTATTACAACCAGCCATTCAGAAGAAAACAAAGTTTAATTACCAGGTGTCAGCATTGCTTTTTCTACAGGCTCAGCGATAACTTACGTGATTTACTGTGCAGACTAGTTTAGGGATAGATGAAAAACCAGCTAGGTTATTTTATGTTTGCCTTTGGAGACTAAAAAGAACGTGAAAAGCAAAGTCTAAAACTATTTATGTTGACCTTTCCAGGTGCACAACAAACTAAGACTCTTCACAGTGCAATGAGGTTACATGGCAATTTGTCTGAATTAATTTACTTACTAATCTTAATTATTAATCGACTACTTCAACGTATTATGTCAAACAAAAAGTGTACATACAACGTGATGCATAAACTAATGGACCGCTAGAGCTTTTTTTTACAATAGGTTGCAGCTGAGATGAAGAAACAGATGTCTCAAGGGCAGAAGAAGCATCGCGGAACAATAAAATACACAGAAAATTATTTCTGTTATACGAAATGAACTTTAGCGTTAGGTAATACCGGACATCCGAGCTTCAGTCTTTCAGTTGTAAAAATGCAGACCATTTTGAAATGTATTGTGAAATGTTGCAGCAGTATTAGAACAGGATTTTTTCCATTTAGCCCGTTTTCAAATGCGATGATGTATGAATGGGATTGCAACACTCAGGCTTTTCAAAACATTCTTGTTTTTCCCCCCCTCACAGTTCGAGCCAAAAGGGGGATGATGACTATGAAGATTATACATCCAACAAAACATGGGTTTTGACGCCCAAAGTCCATGAGAGTGATGTTACCCTTATTTTAAATGGTTTGCTGGAGGGATATGACAACAAATTGAGACCTGACATAGGAGGTGCGTTTCCTAACCTATTTTTAATTGACCTGGGGGTTGGAGGGAGGCTGAAGAAAGAGAATTCTCACATTGAAATATATATCCTGAAAGCATAATCCACAGAAAATGGCGGGGGGGGGGAGGAGCTGACTGACTGTCAAGTGTTAGTGCCAACAGCGTTAGAACAGCATATGGAGAATATGTGCAAGCTTGCCCACACAACAAGGCCAGAATAGACCATGTCTGACTTCAAGTTATGGTCAGCTCTTCATCTCCATTCTTCTTTAGCCCTTCTGCTGCTATTCATATGGTGACAGTGTCTGCTGTGGTTCTCAGACTAATAGGACCTGGTTCGGGGAACTGCAGTTTAGCAAACATAGTTCAGCTAACAGCCTCCCATGAGCTAGATTTGAGTCCTTAATAAGGAGGTGAAATCATAAATACATGTAAATTGTGCATAAGCAGGTATAACAACGGTCACCAACCAATACAGTAGCATCGACTGGTAGATCGTGGAGACTCTGAACGATGATTCTAAATAGTTTGGCCCCAAGCTCCAACGGCTACCAAGTGAAGCACTTCAGCTGCTCCTCCTCCCATTGCTGTGACTCTTTTGTTCTTTGCCTCAGAGCAGTTTTCCCAGGAGCCTCCTGCTTGCTGTTCAAGGCAGGAGACGGATTGGAAAGTGCTGATATCACACTGACCGCCCCCTCTCCCTGTCCCCAACTTTCTTTTCCATCCCTATTGCCTAGCACCACAGAGCAGAGAAGGGACACAATAAGGTTAGGGCTAGAGAAAGCTTACTGGATGCTTTTGGGGTGGTGCAGGGCTAGGGCAGGGGTGAGCCTCTCTTAACCCCATGTACCATTACCGAGGCACTATCAACAGTACCGGCTGGAGTCCACATTTTGAACCCCCTCCGCATGTTATGACCTGCCTCTAATATCCGTAGTCCGTGCCCCCACCCAGGCATATCCAAGCACCTTCCCAGAGCCTGCAGCTACAGGTGCCACTTACAACCCAACTGCCTCCCCCAAGCTCACGTCCAGAGCTCCTCATGCTCTAAAGCCTACCCCAACCCCAGCTGGTGAAACTGAGTAAGTCTAGGGGAGTGATAATGGAGTGATCGGGGCGGGGCCTCAGAAAGAGTTGGAGGAAGGAGCACAAAGATGGTGCGGGCAAGGATGTTTGGGTTGCATTACACCTAAATTCAAAAAGTGATTTCCTGTTTAAAATGGTTTGCAATAGCCTGTGAACCATATACGGTCCAAGTAGTTCCACAATCTACTCCGCAAATATTTTTCAAAAGTTATTTAATCAGACTCGCGAGGCTACCGAGAGGACGTGTGAGTTCATTCCGACTGCTTCTGGGAGTAACACCTATGTGACTGTGGGTGACACTAGCCGTGTTTTTCTGCCAGGGTTGGGAGGAAGGGCCACTCAATGTGTTTTAAATAAATTGGGGGGTGGGGCAGCAGCAGGAACTGAATTTTATGGAAAAGGAAAGCATTCCTGTGCAGTTTGTAAATCTTGCTAGAACTGCTGTCTACAGTTAGTTTAATACAGTCACAGCGGTACAAATAATCCATAGCAGCAAGTGAAGAGGATAAAATGGAGGATAAAAAAAGGGTGCGTCTATGGATGTTAGCCTCAGATGAAGTAAAGAGCATCTCACCATTTAAGGTTTAATAGCCATTTTCACAAGCCGAGGCCTTTATCCAAATAGTCAATGAGCTTAGACAAGCAGAGGAATAGTTATTGCAGTGTAGCCGCACCCAAGTTATCACAATTAGAGTGAAAGGGCTCATTTTTCGTAGAATAGTAATGACATTCATTGTGGAAAGGCACAAGGACAAGTAATGGACTAAAAGAAAGAAAGGTAAGCAAGGGGGCAGAGGGCTTAGTGGCTACACGGGTAACACCCAATGATAGCACAGTGATAAACATTAAACTTTTTCTTTCCAGTTAAACCAACAGTGATTCACACTGATATGTACGTAAATAGCATTGGGCCAGTGAATGCTATCAATATGGTAGGTAACCATTTTTAACAGTTTGTTACTCTTTTGCTGATCAGTATGTTGTTTGATGGATGCAATAATTCCGTTAGACAATTATGGTCCATTAGTTTTGATATGCTGTCTAAAACAAATTTTATTACACAAAGCTCATAGGTAACCCATGTGTTATGCACTAAAAGTGTTGGCCCTCATTTAATCATGCAACGACAGTGCAGAATATTTTGCTAATTTGGGTGAGGCGGTGTATTTTTTTTTTGGTAATATATTTGTAATCTTCCAGCCGGAAACAGCCTGTGTACGCGACACTTGTGTTAGTATGAAGAGTCATTGTTCTCTATAGAAATACAGAAATTTAGTTATGCGACACATTAGACTGAAACACACGTAGCGGGATAGCTCTGAAATTTTATTAACTTTTTAAGCTTTGGAGGGTGGCTACGTCTTCTACCAAAAAGACCCCTATCACTGTGGCATTGAATCATTTGATGTCAAGTATCCAGTAGTTAAGGGTGGCAATAGAATGTAGCACTCCCTGAAAACTGTTCCTCTTTTCCCATGAGAGGAAGGAAGCAGTACATGTACAGTTAGTGGAGACTTACAAGCTGCAGGCTGATGGGCTGCTCTAGTTTTCTATTGGGTCTCCAGGGCCGACTCTGTTAGTGCTGACCCTTTGATTTTCGCACGGAGTAAAAAAAATTAAACATAAGTACAACTTTCAATTAGTAACCTAATGCTTTTCAATTCCGCGACCCAGTCCTAATTTATAATTTGACTTCCAGGATGCTGAAGGGGTTATTCAGACACCTGGTCATTCTTGCTATATAAAGCAAATAGTCTCCTTATTCCACAAACTCATGAGGACCAGACTCACAGCAACTTGCAAACACAAATCGAATATACTCTACTCACTGAAGAATGGCTGTTGTGCACCCTGAAAGACCTAGATGGAGCAATTCTCCAATGGCTGAGGGAAGGGGCAGAAAAAACCCTCTTCTTTCTACTGACAATACGTCTTGATCTGAAATGACCTGAATCTCCTGACTGAGACTGGCTGGAAGCTAGGAGGGACGCACAGACTTTAGAATACAGCCAGCCGCTATCAGTCAGAACCTGGTTAAATATGGGGGAAAAAAATCACATGCATTCTTATTTTTAAAATAGACTTATCAAAAGTTATTTAACCAGTGCTAGCATCAATCCCTCTTGTATTGACTACAAATATTTTTCCAAGGGTTTTTTTTTAAATGAATAATTGCTAAACGCCGCTCTAATTCTACCACACACAAGGTTTCATTACTTTTTCTGATTAATGAACAGGAATATACGATCGATATATTTTTCGCCCAAACATGGTATGACAGACGTCTGAAATTCAACAGCACAATAAAAGTGCTCCGGTTGAACAGTAACATGGTTGGTAAGATCTGGATACCAGATACATTTTTCCGAAACTCCAAGAAAGCAGATGCTCATTGGATAACAACGCCAAATAGGATGCTCAGGATCTGGAATGATGGCAGAGTGCTGTACACACTAAGGTATTTACACTGGTGTTTAACTTTGGTTCCTCAAGGGAAAAAGGAAAAGTAGATTTTTTTTTCATACAATTGTAAGGCTAAAAGGAATCACCGCAGAAATTAACTTAAAAAAAAATCAACGGTGTAAACATAATAGGAATGCATAATTAAGACCAAAGCCTGTTTTCTATGAAGGGTTGTTTTAAAATGGTCTGAAAAAAAATTAGACACATTTAGACCATTTTTCACTTTGCCCTTTTCATCAGCAGTGCAGTGTCACAAGTTATGTGCCTCATTAGCATCCAGCTATAGTCAGCTATTTATCAAGAACTGGCATTTGAGTAACTAAAAGTACATGCGGCTTAAGTAAGTATTCAAAAAAATTATTATAGTATTCCCCTTAGTTGCATTTTCAATGACTCGCTTATCATGTGTTTTGTCACTGTTATAATGTTCTCCTCTGATTATTAAGTTAGAATTAAACAGTATTTACCGCTAATTTACCTCAACAGGTCCTTTCTATATGATGTCTTTGACGTCAATGGAGCTAGATTAAAAAGCCAAGATTGAAAAAAGTTTACTTTCAGAAAAAAAAATGTGAAAATAAAATTTAGGCTTTTAAACATGGCAGGAGTAAAAGCAGTGATTTAAGAATTTTAACCAAAGGTTGTTGAATATGTATTGTCACGCTTTCTATTAGGCCATCGCTCTAATTACATGTAGCTCTCTTTGAGGCAACCGTAGTTTTTCTTCAATCCTCACTGGTTATGTCTTTAGATATGTTGAAAGCAACATTTGCACTTCAAACGTTTTATTTTGACATTCATGTATCACAGTTTGAAGAAAAGAAAATGATTGGGTTTTAAATTAGTTTGAATCAAAATCAGTCTGATAACGCACATCCTAAGTTGCTTTGGTAATGTTAAGTAGCCCTTAATATCGCAGACCATACGCTCCTAAAACTTCAACACTTTTCTCCTCAAATCACGTCCTTTTTCGCTTTAGTGAGCTGACAATAATATGTAGACAGTAGTTCTATTAAATATGCTCATTGCTCAACAGTCAACGTATTCCAAAGGTGCATCAGAAATCTAGCACACAATTTGAGTCATCATGTAGCATGCAAACATATTGGATGGAGCTGGAATATGGTACAATATGGCAAGGCTACGTTTGCCAGCTGTATGCTGGAATTATGCCTGGTGGCAGGCACGTGCTGCTGATCCCTTGCTTTTCATGCCTACTAAATTCCCTAGCAACTCATCAGTGATTTTTTTTCTAATCACACTAGAGAGATATCTGCATTTGTATGACTGGTCTAAGCCATCCCGGGCCCTCAAGGCAGAATTACTAACTGAAGCATATTAAAACATGTCCAGAACAAGAAACAACTTCAAACAGGCGCTGAATTTACGGGCTAGGAACTGTTATAGTCAAACAGGTTTAAACATGGCCATTTAAAAAAATGGCCATCAGTGCAGCATTAGCTGATCATAAGCAGATTACGTTGCCTCCTTGGTGTCTTGAAGGCAGCTCAACAAAGGAATGAAAGCCGAAAGTTAAGGCAGGAATCTGATCAAAAAACTACTACCCTGTTCCCATTTCAATCACAGGCAACTGTCTCGTAGACTACACAGACACCAGTATGTGAGCCTCGTTGCCTGCTGTGAGGAAAAGGTGTTTTTCTCTTACAGTTGGTCTCACAGGCGCCTTTCTCCTCTCCAGCAAAGCATGCAAGAGAAGAATGTTGGACTCAGGTTGAAATATAGCTCTTGGACAAATAGCCGTCTCTCCTCTAGTGATGAATACTTGCTGCCAATGCATGCCGCACTTGCCCTAGACTGGAAACATATGTACAGAGTGGTTAAATGTGAAAAACCTAGAGCTTTTTAACTGACCAACTCAACTCTAATAGAGAATTTTTCTTGTAAAATTGTAAAAGACAAATGAGGGCTTTTTTTGGCTAGTACCCATTTGAAATTGCATCCATAAATCGTTCAGGGATTGCAACTCAGGTAACGCTGCCATTTCACAATCACTTAAAATATTATTGAAAACACACTTTCACGTTTTCTGTGTTGTCAATGACCCTGAATAGTTGATGTTATTGGGAAGAAAAAGACACTGACTTCATGGTGACAGATGATTCAGGGTGAGCTGACACCTGAAATTTTACTTTTGGAACATAAAATATGAACTGTGTTGAAAGCTAAATAGTATTGTCGCCGCTCTCTACAAACACCCACAGAGTGCTGCGCTATAGTTTTTGCTTAAATAGAAAAATGTGGCTATTTCTTATGAAGTATATTTTAAAATAAAAAAAAATGTGAAGTTGTATTTGGAATTGTCTTGAAGATGGCTATCCCAAACAAAAAAATTATTTACCAGTGGAAACCCAGTTCGGTGGACGTAGGAGGCACCAGATCTTAGCGGCAGAGCTTAGCACCCGCTCTTGGCACCAGAGCTCATCAGTTTTCCTTTCTTGGACAGTTCAAAACATGGAGTAACAGTACTAGGAATACTTGGAATAAGCAACTTAAGATAGCATGTTATCGGGGTTACTTTTGGTAATCTACTTGCTTTGCGTGCCAGGAGGTGTGCTCTATATTCTGATGCTAAATTGCTGTCACTATTTATTTTAAGGTTGACAATAGATGCTGAATGTCAGTTGCAGTTACACAACTTTCCAATGGATGAACATTCCTGTCCACTGGAATTTTCAAGCTGTAAGTAAGGTGCTAAATTACTTATCCCCACCTTTATATATATTGACATACTAACGGAAAGATTATTAGTTCTAGCTAGCCAGCAGACTCTGTCATCTGCCGTTTAATTTGCACTACGAAGGCCCTGACACTTATTTCATAAATGTGCACACATTACATATGTTCACAGCTAAAACAGAAGAAATAATGTTACTTGCGACTGCATAAGCTATTTGCACAAATTAATTAGGCTTTCCAGGAATGTTAGCTTTCTTTAATAAAGTGGTGCAGTGTCACTCTTGGTCACACGTCCTAATGTGTCATTGTATCCACTACTTTTGAAGCATGGTTTGCTTGATGCGTTTGAAATCAGGTGTGAAGTAGGCGATTTCACAGTGACAGATGTTTCAGGGTTGATTGGCACCTGAAATTTCAGTTTTGGAACATAAAAGTATGAAATATGTTGAACGATAAGTAGCATTGTCGCCGCGCTCTACGAACGCACACAGAGTGCTGTTCTATAGCTTTTGGTTAAATAGAAATGTGGCTATGTCTTAAAAAGTACATTTTAAAGCTTAAAAAAATTGTGACGTTGTATTTGGAATTGTTTTGAAGATGGCTATCCCAGGGAAGAAATCATTTACCAGTGGAAACGCAGTTCGGTGGAGGTAGGAGACACCAGATCTTGGCGGCTCTATCAATTTTCTTTTATTGGACTGCGAAATACTACAGAAGTAGTGAAGACAACCTCAGGTAAAACTTTTTTTTAATTTTAAATGTTTTTTATGTTAAAAAATGGTATAGGATTATCTGGAGCTCACCTCTGGCAGTTAGCACACCATAGTGATTTTAATTTCTTATGGCACTAATTCGTCATGTATCCTGCAGAATGGAAAAATAAAATTCTTTCTCTTGCTGAAGCTTATCTTGCACACTTCAGCAGGTTCTTGGCACAGGAAGGCAGCAAGAGCATCTGTAGGGTGGATCGGGAAATGATAGGATGTAAATAATGACTTGACCCTCTAAAGACACTTAGCAGAATGGAAGAGCTGATGTGCAGAGGATAATGATCCTGACTAAATAACCACAATGGCCAGGCATAGAATAGTCACGTAAAGTTACAATTCCCTTCTGCAGCAATAGAGCTGCACGCTACTGCTTACTCGGTGCTAGCTCTAAATTGTCAAAAGCCACCGTGAACTAGACGCTCTACAACTCAGCTAGGCCTACGCCATATTTCCATCTGTGTTACCTGCCCTTACTACATTAACTAGATTATAAAATGATCACGTAAGACGATCACATAGTACTTAAATTAGGAAATAAGCACACGTGCTAGCATTGGTGGAAACTGGTGACAGTTATTAAGGTCCAGAAAGTGTTAGCTGGTCTTTCTGCAATTAGCTGTTTTTACCTTGTGCGCTAATGGCGATATAGTTGGTATTTGGCCAGAACAGGGAAAACAGGGCAAACGTAACATGGCGCTCAGATCCATTGGTCCACTGTTTCCTGCATTTGTGTCTCAAGGGCATGTGATATTTTTGCTTGTACTGTGTGCTTATAAAAAGAAATGTGTGACTATAGAAAGAAATTATGCATCCACATAAAATAAAAAACTTCATTCCCTTCATAACTGTTTTCATTTTACTTAAATAAAGCTCAGTAAAAGCCTAGTTTAGGCAACACTTGTTTCAGGACAGCGAAGGCTTTCTAAAGCAACTTAGTCCTGGTGAGTGTCTTTTAAATATCTGCTGGGCCTATACCAAAAAAATTGGAGCGAGATGTCAGAGAACTCGTCTCCTGTGGTGTTTATTATATGTTCTCGACGTTTTCTCCGCTTTTTTTATTTTTCTGAAAACTGAGTTCAGCCGGGATCCTACTCAGTGAAGTTGCAGATCAGCAAGCATATAAACAAAATTACCACAGGGAAACCTACATTGCTATGGCTCCTACTCCATGACCATGAAAAGCCAACGGCAGTATTGGATAGTAAGTGCCTTATCAGGAAATTACAGTTACTACTAAAGATTAAATGCTACCCAATCTGAATAATTAAATCAAGTCTTTCCTCTTAAAGTCATACTTTCAGGTCTGCAATGCAAGCATCGTCCATGACTCCAACCGTGGTCCAAAATGCAATGTCTTTAGTTCTTTACGTTTTTATTGCTTTACATATATATTTCATTTCATTCCTCTACAAAATCTGAAAGTCTGCTTGCACCAAAGGGTGGTTAGCTAGTTTGCTTAGCTCGAATTGCGTAGCCTAAGTTCAGGCTATGTGGCGCTGTAACGATGTGCACTGGCTATATTGGAGGCGCCAATAGAGAGGGCCAGAGGACAGTGGATATTGTGGAGGGGAGAGAGCCTAGCCAATGGTTGAGTGACAGTAGGAATCGACATGCCCTAAGGTCTAGAATGGAAGACCCCCCCCAAAAAAACAATGGACATTTGAAACCTCCCCAATCTGGTTTTTTTATTTCATTTTAGTACGTTACCTACTCTGTGCCTGTCCGCCAGACCGACCTCAGCCTCCTGATTACCAGCACTGCATGCTGGCCTGACTCCCTCAGTAGGAGCAGCCAAAACAAGCAGAAAGGCTATCTAAAATTAGGTGCAATATCAGCTTACTGCCAAATTTAGCTGAACGTGTGAGCTCTATGCGGAAGGACAAACAGCCAGATGTATATGGAGATGATGTGCTAGTTTTACCCCAGCACAGTAACTGGTTTAGTTCAGCGCTGGGCTCCTTAACTGGTAGGATGTTGTGGTTAAGAGCTCTGACGCAGAGAGCACATATATTGGCGTTCACTGCCCAGTTATGCTTTGCAGGGAGCGCTTGAAGTGGCCTTCCAGTCTTGATTGCTCTCATAGAAACTTCTTTCGCTGTATTTCCCAGACACTTTTAACCATAGCGCCTAAAAAAATGTTTTTAAATTTGCTGAGCCTTTGAGACAGGACACAGCAGTTAATTAAGTGTTGGGGACTACGTCTCCACTTCAATACAATCCCAACGTTAGTTTAATTAACATGGGCTTCAATGCTGCCAAGTGCTAAGGAATAAGGATGGACATGATTTAAAAAAAGAACAACCTAAAAATGTGCTTCTCAGACTAAAACTCAACAAAGAAGGCTCTTTTTTGTTGAAGAAGTGTCTCTTATTACGGGCTTTCAACATTGCTGGTTAGACTTTAGCAAGGACAAAGGTGCATACAGTGCAAAATATTTGGTTTTATTTGCTCTTGAGATGAAGGATTTGGTTTTTGCCCTTTTTTTTAATAATTGAAATAAATTGTTTCAGGAGGCCAAGAAAGTTTCTCTCACCTACTGGGATACAGAGCACCATACGACCGTCGCCACTGCTTGATAGCTTTAGTTCACATATAAGTGTATTTGCACTATTAAGAGTACATTCTATACGTGCCCAAGGACAAGGTTGATCAAATATGCAAAGGCACATTCTGTTATCTATGACAGCCTGGGTTTGTGTAGTGTTGCTCAAGACAATTTAAGAACATAATGCTTTGTAGCTATGCCCTATATACACCATACAATTTTCTGTAGTTATATGTTATGAGTTTTGACATGGAGTATATGACAGCTTTTCGATAGAGATTATAGCAAAAATTGTGTTAGCTATGGTGTGCATTTCACTCCTCAAAGAGCTGCTGACACAGAGTAATGAACAACCCATGTGTCACATAAGATGTTTAAGACCTAATCGGCCTGCCTAAATGGCAGCATGCACATACAGCTACCAACAGTGCAATGCACACAACCCATATGTTAGCCACACACACAACTAACTATGAAATACACAATTGGCAAAGATCACATTTTGCAATCTGAGCCCATAATATTGCATTTTACAAAAGAAAAAAGAATTGCCTAGCTAGCATCTCCCTTAAATGCAGTGTCATCGTGGAGTTGTGCACTGGGAAACAAAACAAAACAAAAATCAAGCTATGACCAAGCAAATGGGCTCTATCCTCTTATGACAGCCAAGCGTTGTTTCGTGGAAATAAGTATTATTAACGCGCAAGGGGCTACTTTGCTGTTGCTGTGGTCTATGAATCTTCCAATGAGATTAATGGCTCATTAGACACTTAGTAGCCCGGTTATAGTAAGAAACAGAGCTGATGCAGTTGCTGTACCTATACCTGTAACATTTGGAACCTTTCTGGAAGATAACTCATTTGTCAAATGATGTCCCTCTACAGCAGGCTCTTTAGCATCAGCGTCTTAAGTGAAAATAATTATATTCTGCGTGCAGCTATTCCCCTGTGGCTTGTTTGCAGCCTCTTTGAAGACTGTTGCGATACATGACCAGAATACCTGCCACCTGTAGCTCTATTCCAGAGGTAACTGTTTTGGGGGCAGGCGGATCAAGTAAGTTATCTGTGCTGTGGATTAGCTCAAAGGAGCAGAATGCTTGTGAGATGCCACCTTTTGTTTTCTAAAAAAAAAAAAATAATGGAGATCACCTATCTCCTAGAACTGGAAGGTCATTGAGTCCAGTCCCCTGCTGTCACAGTAGGACCAAGTACCACCCCTGATGAATTTTTGCCCCAAATTGCCTCCACAAGGATTAAACTCACAACCCTGGGTTTAGCAGGCCAATGCTCAAACCACTGAGCTATCCCTCCCCCCTGTGATAGAGTCTTTTGCAAAAGTGATTTCACTCCAATTATTTAGCATAAAATACTTTACATGTCAAGAGGCCATTACCACAAAGCTGCATGACATAGTCATTTTGACGATTTGGATGTGAGGTTTCATGCAGCGCCTAAATCTCAGTTTATGCTCAAAGGAAAAAAAAGTCAACCTGAATTGATGTTTTTCACTTAGGTAGTCAATGGACCTCACTCGCTCTCTGCCAAGCAGAAGACTTTCCTTGTATGTAGTGGCACTTTTATGGGACAGAGGCATGCCTGATAGTTTGCTATGTGCAACTGCCAAAAAATTGCAATTAGCAGGTAGTGAACACAAGGCCCTTAAGTCTATTATAGCTTATAATGGAAGATGACATTGGCACACATAGCCACTCCACAATCAGAAAAGTACAAAGGGGACTTACACAGCTTGATCCTAACCTGCATTAGGATAGCTTGCTACTTGTGCTTCGTGCTTCAGAGCTAACCTTTTCAGGTTTCTTTGCCTGCAGGTGCCTCTCCTCTATATATATTATGTGGTGGTCTTCCCCCTTGATGGCCTGCGAAAGTACAGCTTTATGATGCGTCCAGCTGGCCCATGCATGGTTGAGCAAAATCCAAACTGAATAAGACTGGTCGTGGCACAAGAAGTCCTTACGGTTCTTACATGCGGCCTCGCAGTCGGTGTTCCACTTCAACCTTGGGGGGGGGATATCTTTGGTGAGGGGGTGCTGTGAACTGAGGCACGGAGCGGGGATAGTAACCTGCCAATCCCAAGAACTGCCTAATTTTCCTCTTGGAGGAGGGAACTGGATCATTTTGTATGGCATCGACCTTTCTAACTAGTGGGCGAATAAGGCCCCCATCCCAGATGATACCCCAAGTATGTCTTCTGCCAACTGATTTTTAACCTTCCTTTGGAGTTGACTGGAAGGCCAGCATCCTGAAGAGTCTGCAAGAGGGGCAGCCACCTGTAATAGCTGTTCTTCCTGACTGTAAATGACCACCGTTTCGGGCTCTACCTTGGCATATTCCATATGAGGGGAGAGCAGGCAGTCCATTTTCTGCTGGAAAGTTGGGTGCTCCATGGTGGCCAAAAGGCAT